GGGTGCTACCGTCTTCTGGGCTGCAGAAGGCGGGCGAGCGATCTGGGTCGACTTGCGCCATAGAGGTCGAGGGGCTTAAGCGCCGCCCCCCCACTGTAGGGGGACGGCCTAAGCCTTGAGTTTAGGGATTTAGGGTTGAGGGTTTCGGGTTCAGGGTTTAGGGTTTAGGGATTTAGGGTTGAGGGTTTCGGGTGCAGGGGCGAGGCCTGAAACTTTGAAGGCTTTGGGTTTAGGGTGACGTTGTCTGGCAGGCCTGAGGCTTACTTCTCCACTGTGGGGTTGAGGAATTTCTGAGGGCTGTCCGATTTAGGCTTAATTACTCCTAAACCCCAAACACTAAACTGTAAGGTTTAAGGGTTCGAGGGGGCATAGGCCTCGTGTTCCGAGAGGTTTAGGATTTAAGGTCTACGGTGTACGGGTTTAGGCAAGTGGAGGTTGCGTTGAATTGTGGCCGCCATTGATTATCATTGACCCCCACCCCAGCGTACTGCGCGGTACTAAGAGGCCTTTGAATACTGTGTTGGATGTTCGCCAACCTTCCCCTAGACCCTGAGCCCATCTAAGCGCCTGAACCCTAAACCTCCGTCCTACCTTGACATGCCCGCCTGAGTTGAGGGCTTTGGGGCTTGAGGTACTTGAATCAAAATCGACAACGACAAGCTTGTTCCTACCTTTCGTGGTCTGCGGTTATAACAGATGCCCTTGAAGTCATGCAACCCTTTGAGCAGCTGGGACTTGTGCGTGTGTGTGTGTGTCATGGCAGTTGCGCAACCGAGAACAGAAGGATCTCCCACGAAACGCATCCTGCAGGTTGGCTGGAACAGGCTACCTTTCAAAAGGCAATCACAGGCTTCAAGAGTAGATAGATTCCAGCGGAGGTGTGGGCTGGACAGCGACAAATGCCGATCGATGTTGGAAAGGAAAGATGTGTCTCGAAGAGTCGTTTACGTCAGGATGATGCACTCATCAAACCCTGCGCCTACAACCCCCGAAAGCCCTGCACTCCATGCAAAACTAAACCAAACAAAAACTAATTATATAAACCTATCAAGCCCTACAAGATCCGATGCAGGCCGTGAAAGAAATATAATAGCCTCGCCCAAACCCTGCCAAAATCGTATTAAGGCCATAAAGAAACATAAGAGGCCCCTAAACCCTAAACCCCAAGCCCTAAACCCTAAACCCCAAGCCCTAAACCCTAAACCCCAAGCCCTAAGCCCTAAACCCACATAAGAGGCCCCTAGAGCAGGTCCCACGTGGCCCAATGTGAAAGCGTTGCTGCGCAGCGCTGGCCTGGCCGCCATCGAGGAGGCGAGGGTTCACCTTCAAAGTTTAGGGTTTAGGGTTTATTTAGGGTTTAGGGTTTAGGGTGGTTCAGTAAGGGAAAGGGAGTTTTACGAGTTTAGAGTTTGGGGCTTTACTAGGGGAAAGGATGAATTTAGGGTTTGGGGGTTTTATTCGGGGACAGGATGAATGATTCAGGGTTTGGGGTTGAGGGTGTGATTCATCACATAGCTTGTGCTAGGAACCCAGAGGCTCCTATAAGTTACAGCAGAGAGCGTCGGCTTTCTAGGATAGGAAGTGCTATTATGGTTTGGTCAAGTGTTCTCCATGTAGGTGCTTAGGACCATTTCGGTACGGGAAAGGATTGCATAGCCTCTCCGGTTCAGCGATTGGGGAACTATGGGTGCAAGTGAAGATGCAAAAAGGGCAACAACCTACAAGGCCTGCATAGACCCACTTGTGCTTTCAGAGCTCCGCAGGATCGCCCCCTTTTAATGTGTGGTGTGTGTGGTTTTGGGATGGAAGAGCTCGGCGCTTAAGATCTACAGGCTTGCAGGGCATGTGTTACTGAACACGAGAACTCCTGAATCCCAAACCCCGAATCCTGAAAAGGCTCTGTACACTCAAGACTATATTCTCAGCAGGATTCGGGAAAAGCAATCGGCCAGGCTGTTGCACTGAGTTGGGATCGTCACAAATCGGGGCCGGAAGCAGTAAGAAGATGTTGTGTGTAGGGCCGTTGACTATCCGCCTGTCCTTTGGGCTGTCTAGGTTTGTCAGCTGGTGTGGTTTGAAATACGATTTCGAAAGGCAAGTTCCACCAAACTTTGATGAGAATTCATCGGAACGTAGGACGTAGGGATCTTCTTTCTTTCATGCAGGCTGAAAGTCCGAGGGACGTGCCTAATGCAAACAAACACAATCGAATTCAACAAGGGACTCAACCACCGCCTAGTATGCACTCACAAATGCTTTGCAGAAGTGGAGCAGAAATCTAGGCGGTAGGAGCAAGCAGGTATGCAGGCACTCATAACCCAGCACGGCAAAAGCTGTATAGTGCCTGTCACACCCTGCCACAAAACCTAAGGGACACCCGCGAATGCGATGCAAGCCGAAGTTTGCCCTCAACCTGCATCCACAAGCGCCGCACACGTCAACCTTGTTCCTACTGGCCTGGTGCTTCCCTTGCCAGCACCGCATACACGAGCCACTTGAGATCCTGCGCAGCGGCCAGCAAGCTGCCTGATTCGCTCCAGGACTGAGCCGACGATCTTATCCCCAATCGTGAACTGTCCAAGATCCACCTGTTTCGCAGTACCTTGATGTTTCGCAACACCAGTCTCATCGAAAGAGGCATTCAAGACATCCCCACCACCGACCGCATTGTCCGAAGGCAGCTGTCCACCGGTGTGAGGTTGGATGCCGTATTCCAGGCAAAGGGGCTCCCAGCAAGCATTGTCGATCTGTACGCCGCTCTGACTGCACCAGGGCTTCTCGCGCTCGTCGCAGTGGTCACCCAGTAAATGGAAAAGGATCCGTCCCCGGCAAGTGTCTGAGCAGGAACTGGCGCCAAAACGTCGCTATCACATTGAAACGAAAAGCTGGCCCGGCCAACCTCGCAGTTGGCCCGAGTCAGGCAAGGCTCCCAAACGCCAACGTAAGGATTGCGCAGCTCAGCTAGTTTACCCGCGGACAATCGGCCCAAGCCACATCCGACCACCATGCTAGACGTAATCGTCTCCATAACCCGCTCAGCCAAGTACCGGATATGTGCTCTGCAACCCGAGAGATCCAAGCCTGTACGCTGCTCCAAACACAAGCGCAGAGCCTTCAAGGAGATAAGCCCATGTTCCACAAACATGGGCATCATTGCAGCAGCTATGTGCTCGCTCAGCAAGGCATCCGTCTCAGTCTCCATGGCGAACCCCATACCCCGCAGGGCAGCGAAGGGGTTCTGGGGCTACAGTGTTCCTACAGCGCCAGCTGTTAGGCGATCTGAGCCCTACGTAGGGATCTTAACAAATAGAAAAGGGTGTTGGGCTCCTCTATAGTAGAATTGTAACACGGAGCCCTAGCGAATAGTATTGGTAATTACCCTCAACCCTAAACCCCAAACCCTCAACCCCTAAACCCCTAAACCCGAAACCCAGTACAGCAAGTCTCCAGTGGTGCGGGCTAGATCTCTAAACCCCAAAGCCAAGCGTCTCATTCTTTAGGGTTTAGGGTTTAGGGACTTTCAGATGGCTCTTGCTTCAGAGCACCCGAAGAAGCTAAAGCCGGTACCACACCAAAATTACCCAAAATTCTCAGGGTTCGGGGTTTAGGGTCCTAGGGTTTAATAGGTCTTTAGGGTTTAAGGTCCCAGCTAAATTCGGCCTGGTTTCAGGTGCCCAAGCCAGATCCTTGGGCTTCCGCAGATGGTCCTCGCGAGTGCCATGCTTGCGCATAAGGTGGTGACTGCCCTACGGTTGATGACACAAATCCCGCATTCCGTTTAAGGGCCCTAAACTGAATTATGGTGAATTCCTTATTATGGGTAATGCAGGATTTAGATCATCAACCGCTGTACTAAATCCCAGGTTTGCCGCAGATTGGTTGCCAGTAGCAGCAGTTGTGGTCGTGGTAGTGGTAGGTGTAACTGTAGTTAGTAGTAGTGGCAGCGGCAGTGGTAGCCGCCGTCGTCGTCGTCGTCGCCGGCGTCGTGGTCGTAAGAATTCTTCTTCTTCTTATCATGATTATTATTAGTAGTAGTCGTCGTCGTAGTAGCAGTAGTAGCAGTAGTAGAATAGCAGCAGTAGCAGCAGCAACAGTAGTAGCGTGGATCCTGAACTTCTTAAAGCTTTCGGGAACTTGTCTGGCACATTCAGCCCAAGGTTTTGGGAAGCTCTCCGGAACCGAGTTGCCGGCAGCGTGTCGGCACTCGTGGATCCCTTCAGGGCTTTGAGGGCTGCGGTTTGTGGGACTTTTTAGGGTGTTTAGGCTATGTTTGTGTGCGTGTGTGCGCGTGTGTGTGCGTGTTTCTGTTAACCGTTTTGGTTTTTTTTTGGGTTGCGGTCTGTCTACGGTTCGGACAGGGCTTTGGGGGTCTATGCCTATAGCAGTTTACGGGGATACTCGTGTGCCGCTTCTTCAGGCCTTTGCGTTTGAGTTGAGTTAGCTGAGCAGCTTTTGGGGGTTGAGCCTAAGACCCTAAACCCCTAAGCCCCTAAACCCTAAACCCCTAAACCCTAGACTTAGACCCTAAACCCGAAACCCCGAAACCCCTGAACCCTTAACCCTAAACCCCTAAGCCTCTAAACCCCAGCCCCCTAAAGCCTAAACCCGGAAGCCCCTGAACCCTTAACCCTAAACACCAGAACCCCTGAACCCTTAGGGCTTCAAGGCTTCAGGGACTTTTTCGAGGGGGTCTCAGGAGCTTAGGCTTCATGGGCACTCAAGGGCTGCTGATTGCATTGTTTTTGGGGTTGAGGGTTTAGGGTTTAGGATAGATTGCTGAAGCCTTGGGGTATTTCGATGCTCGGCCTGATCAAGCTTACTCTTTTGAGGCTTTCCGGCTTTTGGAACTCCACAGTTCGTTTTGGAATTCAGGAGGGGATCGCCTCGGAGTGCGAGCACTCGATCTCTCTGTCTCTCTCTCTCTCCCTCACCCTCTCTTGTTGCTGTCGACGTATATGAAAGCAGGGCTCTGTGTCCGGATTCTACAGGAATTTGGGGGTTGGCCTCAGTGATGGGGGTCTTGCTTTTTGTTTAGCTTCCTCCCTTCACCTCATTTGATTCCAAGTTCTACATAAGATAGGACGTGTTTTTTTTACGCCCACTTTCCTCATCCCGAAATGTCTCCCGACCTCAGCTGCGCAGGAACCGCATACATCAAGCCCATACGACAAAAACGAAAAAAGCCATAGTTTAGGGTTTAGGGTTTAAGGTTTAGGGTTTAGGGTTTAGGGCTTCCAATCCTTGGAGGTAGCCTTAAGACCCCAAAACGACTAGGTCCAGCTCCACCAGCCATGGTCTACTTAGTGCACCCGCACTTCCCGTCAGGAGCTGCATGAGCTTGGAGCTTCAGGGAGTGGTTGGCTGTTAGGACTGTGACTATGTAATATAGGGGCCTAAATAAGTACCATTTGTTTTTTTTTTTGGGGGGGGGTCCTTATTATATTTATAGTATACTATACCGCACCAAACCCTATTCTAGTTATCAAGGCCCTTACAGTATAGGTTTTAGGACTATAGGATTCAGCTTCAGGGTTCAGGTTTTTGAGTTGGCTTGTGACTTTAGGGCTCCACTTGACCCTCCCACCCTAACCCTCCAGGTACCTACTATATATAGGGTACTAGAGCCCCTATAGGGCCCTATATAGTAGGTTCCTGGAGGGTTAGGGCCAGCGCTTCACAATCCCCGCGTGATGTCGCAGCTGGGGTGGCAGGGGCTGAAGATGTCTGCAGCTGCCACTCAAAAGCCCCGTGAGCCCTAAAATAGCTCTTGATCACAGGGCCTCAACTCCCGCACCCCTCAAGTGGAACCTTAACGTTTTTAGAGGCGGCTTCGAGCATCAAGGTGTTCCTAGCGTCTGTGCACATATTATTCTCAGGGTTCCTTCTTATGATACAGCAGTAGTATATACCCATGCAAGCCCTATTTCAATTAGATAAGGTCCCCCACAGAAGACATGTGGCCAGGATACCGTTGAGGGTTATGTGTTCGAGAGGTCTAAGTTTATGTCCGCAGCTGACCCGAAGTCATTGCAAACTCGCTCCTGATGTTTTAGCACTGCCCCGTTGCACCCATCTTGCCGACTGTTTTGGCTGCTGGATGTCTCTCAAATGGCATTTTCCGCTTGTGCCATATGGAGCCGTTTTTCAACAACCCACTGCAGCTCTTTATTGTTTGTATGTGACCCTGTCTTTCTGCCAACAGTGGCCAGGCATAAGCAAACCGCAGATACTAGCTGGTGGATACCGACAACCCTGAGTATTCCTCGGAGCAGTGTCACGGTTGCCGGGACTCTGGTCTCCTAACTCCATCTTTGTGGTCAGGCTCTGTCGGGAACGGCGTACTTCTTGTGATCACAGCTTCCTGTGGTTCTGCTCCTGGTCCGTGACCGCCAGACCTCGAAACTCTACTACAGCCGCTCCCCCGAGGAAAGTACACCCAAAGCCCTCAACCCCAAAATTACCCCGGCGTCTTAGTTCTCACACAGCAAACCTCAAGTCCTCTTTGGGCTGCTACAGTTTGAGGTCGACTATGTTGCAATGTAAATTTGCTGTCATTGCTTGGGTTCTTGGGAAGTAGGAGAACCCCAAAAGCCCAAAAACATCTCTCGTCTTGAGGAGTGAAAGACCCGGAATTCGGGGCCCGTTTGGAAGAGGCTCGAAACGTGGGATCTCTGATGCTCTCTTCGGCGATCTTTTAGGGTGCAGTGGGAGGGTTGGGAGCCTTGTGATACAGATAGAGTACTATAGGAACCTGATGAAGAAACCTTGGGTCTTTATTAGGGCTCTTAATATGAAGCCTTTTCTAGTTGGGGTTATGGGGCCAGGGTTTCTTAATCAGGTTCCTACATTGGCAAGAAGTATATTCTTGCACATGTCTTACGTGCAACCTGATGCTTGATCCCGCCGGCTCCCGATTCCAGAACTGAACCTCGAAGTAGGTCAACCTTCAAATCTGCAAGCCAACAGCCCCAAGTATGCACACGCAAGTCGTGCCGTTGGCATGCGTATATACATAGATACATGTGTCTACATACATATATATATATATACACATAACTGTGTCAATGCATGTTTTTGTATGTACATGTATATGTATGTGTATATGTGTGTGCGTATGTATATGTATATGTATATGTATATGTATATGTATATGTATATATATATATGTATGTATATGTATATGTGTATGCAGATGTATATATTTATATGTATATGTATTCGTGTATATGTAATTGTATACGCATATGACATGCACATGCACATGTATATATATATGTATATGTATGTTACATGTATTCATGTATGCATGTATGGATGGATGGACGGACGGACAGATGGATGGATGGATGGATGGATGGATGGATGGATGGGTGGATGAATGGGTATGCATGTGTGTGTGTATGTGTGTATATATATATATACATATATATATATGTGTGTATATATATATATACACACATGTGTACATATGATAGTACATATGTGCATGCATATATATATATATATGTACACATACACCTGTGCATCTATATGTCTATCATCTAGCAAACTATCCATCTACCCATCTATCCATCCATCTATCTAT